TTATAATGCAGGATTAATTAATTATATTATATACTTTATTCCAAGATACAAATCAACTTTCTTGATAAGTTCCAGCTATAGTTAAATTAAATTTCTTCCAAGCAATGAAGTTTCAACTTAGAATATTTTGCAGGATAAAACAATGTAAAACACTTCTTAACTAAAAATTATGCTATTAAAACTACCGTACTCCGTAAAACAATCAATCTTAACAATAATGTACTAAATTACATATTTAAACGGTATTGCGTTCTTCTAAGTAGAAGTAAAAACAAACAATACATTCTTATTTAGGCTTATACTCTTTATTCCAGAAATTCGATTTTATTACGGACACTCGGCGTTCCACACAATAACCCCTATTTGGGCATTGAATATCTTACGACCGAACAAGTGCACGGCCGAATCGGACGTTATAGCTCTCTCCTAGGCCTAAATGTTTTAAGTAACGGGGGAGACTTGGTTAGGGGGAGACTTTGTGCTTGTAGGGGGCGACTTTGTAAGGGGCGACTTTACAAGGGGGGGGGGCGACTTGACTGGCAATCGGTTAACACATTAACATATGGTCACACTTTAGTAGTATTGACTTATCACAGAGTGCCACTTACTTTTAACTAATTAATAGTTAATTAATAGAAGGCGAGTCGATTGGCTGAGCGGTTAAGACAGGGGAACCGTGACTTACAGCCATATCGGCGCTGGTTCGAACGGCACGCTCGCCTATATGGAACGCCATCGCTGCCTTCGGTAACAGCTTACCATTCGGCGCATTTACATTTGGCCCTTTTACCATTACGTTCGGCTCTTTCACCATTCGGCGCATTTTCATTTGGCCCTTTTACCATTACGTTCGGCTCTTTTACAATTCTGCGCATTCATTCGGCCCTTTTACCATTACGTTCGGCCCTTTTACCATTCGGCGCATTTTCATTCGGCCCTTTCACCATTCGGCGCATTTACGTTCGGCTCTTTTACCATTCGGTGCATTTACATTCGGCGTAGTATTTACATTCGGCGCAATTATAAATAAAATATAACCTTTGACATTGGGTCAAATGAAAAATTTGAGCGGCTGTGGGAATGAGCCTATACAAGTTTAATCGCAACGCCGTACCATCCACCATGACGCAAAGGATTAATAGTACTTAGGTAGGCCTACTAGGCCTATTAAAGATGTACTTAATTAACTTCATAATGCATCTTCTGGAGAATTTCGAAAGGGAGAAGGTATTATTATTTTTATATTAATAATAGCAACAATAATACAGAAATAATAATAGTATAGGGCTAGGGCCTAGGCCTAATATTTTATAGGCCTTTTTCACGAATCGGTAGACATCTTGAAGTGAGACAAACATTGCGAATCAGCGGTGCGTAACCAACAGAAATAAGATAAGCTTTTGGGCGGATTTTTTGGCATCATGTTATTTAAAAAATCATAACTCTATAACGGGGCGTCGTATCCAAAAGAGTTTTCCAGCAAAATGTTCTTAAAAGACTAGTCTACACCACTATATGATTGAAAAAAAAAAAAAAATTTTGACCTCTGAAATCAAGATTGAAAAAGAAAAGCCTATCTTGGTAGTGTATTAAAATAGGCCAATGCATTACAATGCAGTAGCATTGGACTTTCGTGTTGTTACTGTTCCAAGTAGCGATAATATACATATTTCTCTTATTACAATGTACAGGTTATGTTTTATAAAGAGGTATAGTATAGTAAATCATGTTTTTAACACAGGAAACTCTCATATGGTAACTAAAACAATGCTAGTTCAGAGTATTACTAGACTAGTACTACAGACTGTAATGCATATACCTATTTTAATACACTACTGAGATAGGCTTTTATTTTTCAATCTTGATTTCAGAGGTCAAAAAAATTTTTAACATTTTTTTCAATCATACAGTGGTGTAGACTAGTCTTTTAAGAACATTTTGCTGGAAAAATGTTTTGGATACGACGCCCCGTTATAGAGTTATGATTTTTTAAATAACATGATGTCAAAAAATCCGCCCAAAAGCTCATCTTATTTCTGTTGGTTACGCACCGCTGATTCGCAATGTTTGTCATCACTGCAAGATGTCTACCGATTCGTGAAAAAGGCCTATGATTTATCAAATGATAAGGGTCCTGTCTGGCCGGTTTTCACTGCCGGAGAGATGACAACTGACGAGGCATGCATGTGGGGTACTAGGGCTTCTTGGCCATAGGGGCCTAATGTTACTATATGGTTTAGGGCAGGGGTTTATTTATGAATTTGAGTAGCAGGAGAAATTTGAAAGTAACAGGAGAGTAAATTGAAATAGGCCGGGGAATGGGGGGGGGGCCGCCTAGGCCCCCATCGGTGTCCAGGGGCAGAGCCCTGGTCGGGGGTCAAGGGGGCGAAGCGCCATTGCACTCCAGAGTTTTAGAGATTTTTAAGCCCATTTGATGGCATTTCTCTACATCATTTTTTTAAAAACAGTTTTCAGAATCAATTACTGAGCTGTAAAAAAGTTGATATTTTTTCATATTCTTCATACACAGGCCTAGCCTAAATAGATTAAACCAGAAACTTTCGCGAATTGATAATTTCGGCCGTTTTCGCGACATTAAACTTTCGCGAATCTCAAAAAGCCTAAATTTATTTCATGAGAGGAATATCATACAATAGCTGAAAATATCGTATCGTGAGTTTAGGCCTAGGTTAGATAGGCCTACAGCCACTGTGTAGGCT